CCCCTGCCCCCTCCGGGTGCCTTCTGGGTCCCCTTCGGACCACCCAGACCCGGTTTGGCTTGCTCTCCTCCACCCCATCTCATGTTCTTTCTCAGTCCCCTCTTCCCAGCCGCCGGGACTCCTCCCTCCTCTTCCCTCCTGCTCCTGACTCCCCTCTGGCTCTCCCCAGGTCTCACCTCCTGCTCTCCACTCATTCACCCACCCTCCTTCCCACCTCATCCTCCCTCATCCTGCTTCTTGCCTTCTCTCTCTCTGCCCTTCAGGCCTCCTGCCAGAAGACATCCTGACCCCCACCCTCTACCATGGCTACTATGTGCGACCCCGGGCCACCCAAGCTGGGGAGGGCAGCAGGGCAGGGGCCTCTGAGCTTCGGCTCAGTGAGGGCAAGTTCCAGGCATTCCTGGATGTGAGCCACTTTACCCCAGATGAGGTGACCGTGAGGACTGTGGACAACCTGCTGGAGGTGTCTGCCCGGCACCCCCAGCGCCTGGACCGCCACGGCTTCGTGTCCCGGGAGTTCTGCCGCACCTACGTCCTGCCTGCTGATGTTGACCCCTGGCGGGTCCGCGCTGCTCTCTCCCACGATGGCATCCTCAACCTGGAGGCGCCTCGGGGTGGCCGACATTTGGACACAGAGGTCAATGAGGTCTACATCTCCCTGCTCCCCGCACCTCCTGACCCAGAGGAAGAGGAGGAGGCAGCTAGTGTTGAGCCCTGAGTGCCACAGACCCAGCACCCAGTGAACCCCTTTCTAGCTCCCGTGGTGATATGAGCAGCTGCTCACCACCCAGAGGTAGCAGCATCCTTGCGGGAGGGAGAAGTGCGTGGTCCACAATGTATGGTTTGGTCCCTTGGGACGTGTCATAGCATTTTCCTCTAGTTTTGGGTGGAGCTGAATAAACCCAAATCTCAGGGCCTTGTTTGTGCTGCTCCCTATTCTGCGGCCTGGAGGATGGGATGGGCAGGGAGGGAGACAAAAAGGACCGCTAGACCGAAAGCTCCTCAGTTAGATGCACCCAAAGTCACAGCACCCTGAGCTCACACTTGGATGCTGAGATCATACCCGGAAGCTGACACTGGCTCCGGATCAAATTCCTGGCCATAATTTTCTCACAATGCAACAAAAGAGAGAGTGATCCTGGGAGGGAAAAGGGATATGCCATCCAAACAGCCCAGAGGGCCCTGTCTGAGCTGGTGATTAGAGACACAAAAACAAGGGTCTCCAGACTGTCTGGCCTGTTTATGGTAGGGGTTGGGAAAAGAGCTTTTGGTTGCAGAGTTACCTAAAGCCCTGTTTTCCCGTGCTAAGTTCTGTCCACAAAAAATGGTCTCTGATTCTGAAGGACACGGGAACAGTCACAGAAGCCTCTGCCATTGTCACCGAACCACAAAGTCCCCCCATCTCCTGCCTATGAGAGAAAGCATTTATTTCTAACCTTGAAATATTCCAAAGAGAGGAGTCACTGCCTCGTTCCACCCAATTCAAGGCTAAATGCAGGGGCGCTAGGGCTGTCGGTGTGGGGGTGATGACCAGAGAAACTTCCTTTGGAAGTAGAGTCTTACTTAATACTAGGGGTATGATGTATTCAGGAAAGTCTGGGGGGCTGACCTCTCAATTACTCTCTGTAATTAAGAGAGCATGCGTGTATATGATTTGAGGAGTGTCCAGAAGACCTCCCTGCCTCCAAATACATGAGGCTGTGATAGACACCTGAAATTCATCCACTGAAGTGGTTGATTCTTAACTTTTTTGGGTTAAAGATCCTTTTGAAAAATCTGATAAAAGTAATAGATCCTCTTACCAGAAAAATACACATGCTTCCAAATTTGGCATACAGTTTGAATAGATTCACTCAACTCTTGAGCTCCATTCATATGCCCCTTTTAGGGATGCGTGGACCCCCAGAATAGGAACCCTCACTTGAAGAATTCAATTCTTCGTTGAAGGATTTCTGTCTATTAAAAATGAAAGCATGCCTTAGAGAAATAACTATTGATGTATTCTTCTGTTCATTCATTCAATAAACATTTATTAACCCCCAAGTAATATACTATGGAGGTTATACATTGTAAATATAAATTTAAAACTATGCTCCTTTATGGTCTACTTTCAGGAATCTGAACATCTAGTTGAGAAGAAAAAGAATTTTAAAATGATCCTATTCAGACTTCAACCAGAACAGCTTCAGATTGATCTGTTTTGTAATTAGAATTTTTATATGAGCTTTATTTTAAAAAAAAAAGGATTCCTTAGCTGGAAGAAATTTGAAAACTCTGATTTAGTTGAAATCCCCATCCCATTCAAATTCTTTGAAGATTATTAGTCAACTCCTGGGACGTTTTGAGCGACAGCAAACTTACAACTTCATCAAGTAGTCCACTTCATTTTCTTATTGGACACATGTGTTATAAACTCTTCTACTGAAACAAAATCTGCATGTCAGTAACTTCTGCCTGTTGGTTCCAGTTTCGTCCAGAAAAATAAATGCAACCCTTCTTTCCACTTGTGAGTCACTTCAGATCTTTAAAAATAACCATCCTGTCCTCCTATAGTTTCCCTTTCTCAACTAAACATGCCTCCTTCTTTTAAACCTATCTTCTTTTAAACCTATCTAGGACTTTTTCCATACCACTTTTAACTCAGACAACTTTCTCTTGAACATAATAATGCCTTTTAACAATTTAATTTGAAATTCAACATGTAAACCTAAGTTTATTATTCCAGTCATGGACTGATTGGCACAGACTTCAGTGGAATAATCAGTACCCTTGTTTATCACTCTAGATTTCTGTTTTTTGGTTTTTTTCTTCCTAGACTTCTGTTAACGCTGCTTGGGGTATATCAGGTTTTCTGGCTACCACAAGACACTGTTGGTTCCTTTGGAGTTTCTGGTCATATAAAATCTCAGGCATTTTCCTTTAAGCTTTTTCCTTTAAATTAGATAATGTGGCTGAAAAGGGACCAGATTGTGGAGGGCTTTGAGTGCTAGGCTAAGAAGTTTGGGTAACAGGATGAAAAGAGTACAGTTATTGGAAAAGTACAGAATGAATTGCCAGGAAGGAGCCTGGCCATGCTTGTTGAGGCTAGTGCAAAGGTCCAGCACAAGACAGCAAAGGAAGATGCTTTACCATCTGACAGTGAGCCGAGAACAAAAAAGTAATAATAATAGTAGCTAGGACTTAGCAAGAGGGTCCCATGTGCCAGGCTCTGGACTAGAGCTTTATATATATTATCTCATTTAATCTTCTGTAGTCCTATACTGGGAATGGGAAGCTGAGTGGTTAAGAAGTGCTGAGACCGTTCCGATAATAGAATCATATGATTTTTGACCAGAAAGGGATTTAGTAATGAGTTCAGTCCTCCATTTTACAGTTCTAGGGGAAAAAAAAGTGATTTGCCCACATTAATTCCAATAGCAAGGGAGAATATAAAAGGAATCTATTTCCCTACATTTTAGTTTCCAAGAGAGTCCAGTATTCAAACTCAGATTCTGGACAGGGATGATAAGAGACCGATACCGATTATCTTGAAAGTGAAAGTCAATTAAACCTGGGTAGTCCTGGGGAAACGTAGGTAAGCCTCTTTGTTATAGAGGATATATTTCAATGACAGTGTGATGTAATAGCAAGACATTTCCTAAGGAAACTCAGAGTCCTTTTCTATCTCAGGTTTCTTTTTACTGAAGCATGAAGCTCCAAGTTCACGGCTTCATCAAAGCAGCTTCAAATCGCGAAGGTGAGATTGCTCTCACCTGGAGCCTGTGTGTGTTCCTCTACCCTTTGGCTGGGAGCAGTCACCTGGGAATCTTTCCAGCAGGTGGCTTCCAAAGTCCAACCTGTTAGGTTGAAATCTGACACTGACAGAGGCTCCCTGGGAGCTGCTACTGAAAGCTAAACCAGGAACCAGGAAATGCACAAGCCTCTTTCTGTGGAAAAACAGCTGGGCTCCCTGGGAGACAGAGCACCATGGGAAACCGGCTCTGCTGTGGGGGAAGCTGGTGAGTAGGGGCAAATTGTGGAGGGTAATGTCTCCGTTGGTGGACACGGAGGCCTCGAGATTAAGAGAGAGCCTGCAGAGAGCTCTCTGGCAACGTCCCACTGTCACCTGCTTCACCTGGCGCCTCCAGGAGCCAACACCAGAGCAGCACCCCTTTCTGTGCCCTCTCCTTTCAGGAAAGCTCGAAAAACCCAGCCAAGCCAGCTGTCTGTAGAGTAGCCAGGACAGGGCTGGAATGGTGAATTGATATCTTCTCTGTCTTCCTCTTCCTCTCCTTTCCCTTTCCTCTCTTCCTTTCTCCTCCAGATAATGATAATAATTGTAGCATTTGGGAACGTATTCTGTTCCAGACACTTTACAAAAAATCTCATGTAATTTCCCCAACAATTCTGAGGGAGGTGGCCTTATTCCTGCCGTTTTACAGCTAAGAAGCTGAGGCTCAGAGATGTTAACTAATTTGTGTCTGGGGTCACATGACTCATAAGCAAATAAACCAAGATTCCAACCCAGAGCTGTCTGACTTCAAAGCCGATACTTTTAACCACTGCATAATACTGCCTGCCAAATCAAGCAAATCAACTTTGGAGGAATGTTTATGTAAAGGGGCAGAAGTGAGGAGGAGGATGAGAAATGTCCACGGAATATTTGAATTTAACTTTCACACTCACTTGCTGTGTGACCTTAGGCAAACCCTGTAACTTCTCTTTTTCCTCGTATATAAAATATAGATTACACAACCCGTGTTGCTTAGCTCATGGGTTTGAAGAGCAGAGGATGTGCAGAAGTCTCTCAATAAATGAATTATAATGTCTTTATCATTCTTTCCCAGAGTTTGTCATGGCTGTTGTCAAACAACAAAAATACAACCAAATACATTTTCAAGATTTCATTGGCTTTCTTGAATGGTTCATGAGTCGGGCAGCAACTCATCCAGCAAGCAGAAAGGAGCTCCAAGGAGCTGTACAAAATGGAAGGCTTTTATAGGCAGGAGGGGGAAGGGATCAGGAACTGGTCGGATGACCTCATCTTCCTTTGGGCGATGGAAAAGGTCTGTGTGGCAGATGACCTCATTGGTGCTGACCAGAAAATTCCCAAATGGCCACTTAAGACTATGTTCGTTCCTGGGGAAGGCTGAAACTCTAGTTAGGCTACGTATTGAGTGGTGGTTTGGTGATGTGAACTTAGCACAAGAAACTCCATTCGGGGCCTGTTGTTTCTTTTTAACACTATAAACCCCTGGACCTGGTTTTATCCTGTCCACTGCATTCTTGGCTCTACCACTCCGTGCCTGCATGAATCTTGAGGATGTTCTTTATGAGTAAAGTGTCGTTACACTTAGAGAGGTAGGTGAGGTCCATTGCAAAGCACATGTGATTTGGAGTCAGTACATTGGATTCCAGTCCTGTTCCTTCTACTCATTCATGTATCCATTCATTAATTGAACACATATTTTATTGAAAACCTATGTGCATCAGGCATAGTGATAGGTGCAGAAGACTTAGCAATCATTGGAAATTTGGTTCCTGCCTTCTTAAGTAAGATACCAAAGTTCTAGGGCCTTAATTGGCTCATCTGCAAAATAAGAACAATAATATGTGTTTCCCAGAATATTGTCAGGACTGAAAAAAACAGATGAAGCACTTTTTAAACTCTGAGATGTCCTATAGACAAAGGATATCTGGAAACATAAAAACTTCCAGAGGAGGGGGTATAAAGCAGCTTTCCCTCCCTTTCTTCCCAAGTCTTCATAGTCGTTGTCTTCTTTTTTTTTTTTTTGAGTTCAGTTTTTGTTTAATTGAAGTATAATTGTGTTAGTTTCTGGTGTACAGTGTAGTGATTCAGTTATACATATATACATATTCTTTTTCATCATAGGTTATTACAAGGTATTGAATATAGTTCCCTGTGCTATACTGTAGGACCTGGTTTACCTATTCTGTGTATAGTAGTTTGTATATAGTAATGAAAAAAAAATCTTGATAAAGATGACCAATCAGCAAAACAAAAATAAAAACAACGCAATTCACACTTAAGCTAGACATTAGAACATGTCAAACACTATTTTAAACGTTCTATATATAGAGACTTAATTAACCTTCACAGCAACCCTATTTCCATTTTAGGAAATAGATAAGGAAACAGAAAAGTGAGATAAGCTGGTAAGGTGACAGGCTGGTTAGCAGTGAGGCCAGATTTCAAGTCTCCCTGTTTTAACTCTGAAGCCCAGTCCCTCACAATCACTACACTCGACCGAAAGACAGCCAGGTCTTCATAGTCTTCAGTTCTGGTTACTTCTTCCTCTGATGGTGGTAGTCATAGTAGCCAGATTCTACTGATGCTCATGTGCCACCTAGCTGAATATTTTACATCTATTATTTCATCTAATTTTTACAATAATCCCCTGAAGTTTAAGTTCTATTATTATCTTCATTTTATTAATAAGAAAATGGAAGCCTGGTGAAATAAAAAACTTGCTGAAGGTCATACAGCTAGTTTGATACTGTCAGTCAGACTCTAGAGCCTGGTTAGAAACACTACGTCAGATATTCTAACCAAAATATATTTTTTCCTCTTAAAACATGAGTAGGATAGGACAAATACTGTTCTCCTCTCATTATCTCAATAAACTTCCAGAAACTAAAAGACACTATGACACTTGGAGAGATTTTTATTTAAATTTTTTTCCTGATTACTTAATACACATTCACTGTAGAAAACGTGGAAAATACCAAAGAGCAGAAAATAAGAAACAATCATAAATTTGAGCACCCAGAGACGACAGGAACATTTTAGTATATTTCCATGTCATCCTTTTAAAAAGCTATCTAATCCCAAAACACGTTATCCTTCTATTATCTTAAGAAGAAAAATTTCCATGCTATTAAGTGTTCTTCCAACATCTTTCTTAAATGCTTGTATGACGTTCCATTGATCGGAGATGCCATTTATTTAGTTAGTTCCCAATGTTGGACATTAAGGATGTTTCCTGCTTTTTGCAATTATAAATAAGCCTACAATGAGCATCTATATCTGCACCCGTCTGATTATTTCTTAGGCTATGGAACTGCTGCATCAGAGGGTACACACATTTATGTTTAAGGCTTTATCCTTATTGCCAATTGCATTCTAGAAAGATTGCACCCATTTTTATTCCTACGGCCAATATAGGAGAGTGCCCACTTAGGTTCTTTAATTCTGAGCTAAAAATAAAATCCTATCACCCGTGAGTCTAACTGAATATTCCATTTGGGTTGTGTCCAGGCATTGTGCAACCTCCAACTTGGGAACAGGCTGTGTTCACAAAAATGGAGTTGCCCAAGTCTGTGTTATTTTAGAATTAATATTCTCTTTATCCGTTTAAGTAGAAGTAAGTAGGAAGACAAGTGTGACAAGGGACGAGGAATTAGAGGCTCAGGCTATGGCTACAGCGGTAAGAGAAAGGAAGAGCTGAAATAGCAGAAGAGGAAGCAGAAAGACACAGAAATAATTTCAAAGCTTTTCTTCCAAACCACCTGTAGAGTTCAGTGGAGACTAACTGCTCGACCCTCAGCAAGCTGCATTAAAACTGAAAATCCAACCAAAACACAAACCTCTGTCTGCTATGTGTGGAAAAATCCCGATCTTTCTACAGTAGTGAAATGAACATGACTTAGAAATCCCCGCCCACCCCTGCCCTCTCTTTTTCTTTTTAATTAGGAAAAGAAAGAGACTTCCTTGAGGAGAAGTCAGACAAGTAGGGTTGGCTCTGGTGACAGTGGGAAATGTACGAGCAAGAAAAAGCATCCGGAGTAAGCCACAAACTATTCAGACAAGTGTCGCTTCTCTGCCCGTCAAACAGTTGACAATCACGTAGACACACTGGCTCCACTGGGGACCCCAGGGGCCCAGAAATGCGTCTGAGAGGTCTGTCCTGCAGCAAGGGCAGTGTAGCTGAGTCACTCACCAGGCTCAGAGCGCCCTGTGCTGTGGATGTTAAAGGTTAAGCATCTCTCACTTCCTCTGTTAATTAAAAACAAGGACAAAGAAGTGAAGAGGGAGGTCACCTGTCAGGAAGGGGCTTTGCGGGGCCCTAACTGTTAGCCCTGGTGGTGGCAGCTCCTGTGACTCCCAGAATGAGAACCCCGGGTTGGCAGAGACCCTGAAAAAAAGACACCAGAGGAGAAGCAAGAGGGTCTCCGAACCCAGGAATATTCCCTTATTTGGCAGGTTTCCCTTACTGTCTGCTGGGAATAGCCTGTAGACAATCCCAGAATAGCCCTCAGCCCGGCTCCATCCCTGGCACGGAGTGCCCGGTTGCCTGAGGCTGTATTTTGGGTTTGGTTATGTCAGTTGTACCACTCCACCTTCCAGAACCATCCCCTTGGAAGATGTGTGGTACCCTTAATAAATACTTTGGGGCTGGCTCAGGGTGAATCTTTGTTGGGGGGGGGTGGTGGTAAGGGAAGGTCATCCCAAAATATTAAGGAGTTTACACAGCAAATGATGTAGAGGGAAGGTAGAGCCCAGGTTCTCACATGTGAGTGATTTGTTTTTCCCTTCACAGGAGATGCCCATCAACTTTCCAGAGGAAAAAGAAAATGGGTAACGGAAGTTGGGAGGGTGGGGGGATTCTGGAGTGGGGGTGCAAATTAGAGAAGAGAATAGAACCAATGTCTTTAGAAAGGGCCTAACGGGCAAGGACTAAAAGGAGACAGATCACCAAAATTAATCTTTAAGTTGCTGGGTTCAAGACCAGTTCTGAAACTCAGAGTCTCATCCTTTCCATCATCTCAGAGTGGCAAGGTTGTTGCTCATTCTTTCATTCATCCAGCAAAAATTTACTGAATACTTATACTGTATGTGAGGCACTCTGCAGGGCCCCAAGGAGGCAGAGAGGCCCAAGAGGAAGGGCACGTGGTCTCGGCCCTAAAAGAGCTGAAAACCAAATTTGAGAGAGAGATACATGTAAGCAAGTAATTGTAATTCCGTCTACTAGTGCTTCCGAAAACACCAGTGAAGCAAGGTCACACGTTAGAAGAGGAGCAGAGAGGAGGGGATATTTTAGGCAGGGGAATTATCTCATGCAGAAAGAAAAAAAAAGAAAGAAAGAGAGAAATATGAAAGAAAGAAAAAAAGAAAGGAAGGAAGGAAGAAAGAGAGTGACTTGACGGAAAGTGACCGAATGTTTGGCGTAGCTGAGCTCTAACCACGTTGCCCTGTAATAGTGTGTATACTCTTATGTGTCTCCCTGAACAGACTATAAACTCCCAGAAGCGAAGAAAACAGCTTACTTATCCTTCTGTCCCCAGAATGTGGTACAGAGCCCGGCATACAGTCGGCTCTCAACATACATTTGTTGAACTATGTGAGGGGCCAGTGAAAACTTAGGATGGAAGATGTTATGGGCAGATTGTGCAAGGGCCAGGTTGGATACTCTGCAAAGGAGTGAGAGATGAGAGGAGACACAGGGAGATTAGTTAGAAGCCCACCATGATACTTTAATAGAGATTTGAAGAGGGCAGTCTTCAAAGAGAGCAGGAAGAGAAAATGGATTTAAGTCATATTTCTTCCTCCCAGGGAACGACACAAGTTGGACACCAAAGCAGCAGCAGCAACAGCAGCAGAGTTACACAAAGGTAATGACAGGCCTCAGTCCCTTTTAGGGGATGCTCAGACATGGGATCCTAGGACTCAGCTTTTCCATCCTGGGACAGACACTTCTCAGTCATCTATAACCTTGCTGGTTCTACCCAGTTTCCTCTATTCCCTCAATGGAGCAAAGCAAAGAAACATCAGTGTAATTGACCCTGCATTGGAGGTGAGGGGCAAAATCAAGCCAAGAATCTCCCTTAATGTTGTCCATTCCTCTCAGGGCCATGCCACAGCGGGACATACGTATGAGCAAGTGTTAAAGCAGCCTGCGTCTCGGGAGAGGAGTCAAGGTCTCAGGTCTGAGGACAGCAGCTTACATTACGCAGACATTCAAGTGTGCAGCGGTACCCAGCCACGCTCTGCCCAGGAGGTGAAGCACCTGCAAATGGAAAATGCCACAGAGTATGCGATCCTTTGCTTCCCCCAGGCCACACCCCGCTATGACAACAAGAATGGGACCCTAGTGTGAGCCCTGGGGAGGGAGGACCTGTTTCATCATCTCATCACTAGGGCTATGGGGGAGAATCTACTGCTTTGGGGGACTGGCTGGCAGCCCAGAGATGGCGGACGTGTTTTAAGCTTAAAGAACTCCAGAGTCCCTGGAATTGTGAGTGGCCCAAGTCTTGCTGTTTTCTCTGGGCCTGTCTCTTATCTGCTACCATTAGCTTGGAGCTGTATTTGAGTTACCTGGGGGTGGATGGAGTTCCACAAAATGAGGGGGCTAGGTTGAGTGTGCAGGAAGGTAGGGTTCTGACCCCCCTACCTTTGCTCCTGCTCTCAAGAAAAGCGCAGAAAGAACAGGTTACCCTTGAAGCACCTGCACTTGAGCTAATTTTATTGGAGTTAATTTGATAGTATCCCTTTTACACACCTTAAACTCCAAGGCTGAAGAAGAAGAGGTGCTCTGGAAAGCTTCTAGGGCTGGCCAGGGCAGTTTCCTCAGTGGCTGGGTCAAGGGTCCCAGCCCTAAACAGACAAATGAGGGCAGGGGCTGAGGAAGCGTGTTCTGACCATCAGGTACAAGGACGTCAAATCACCACTCATATCGGCAGCACTGAGAGGCCCAGAAACTCCTCTTGATTGGACTGTTTTCTCTTGCGGGTGCAGAGCCATTAGGATCAATAAATCACATAAGGAACGTGCCTGGTGCCTTTTCTGGGGTAGAGGTCTGCGGGCTCTACTAAGCGCATCGGATCTCACGCGGCCTCAGGGCAGGGCGGAAGGCCAGCCACTTTCCGCCCCACTACCGGCGAAGGCCAGAGTAGAGGCCGGGGTGTGATTTGGCCCCGCGAGAGGCAGGCTCCCATCTGCAGCAGGCGGAGCTCCCTGGGTGGGGTCCGGACGGGCAGGAGGCGGGGTCGGGGCCGGCAAGGGGCAGGTCTGGACAGGCAGGGGGCGGAGTCTTGGCAATCAGGAGGCGGGGTCAGGGCCGGCAAGAGGCGGGGTGAAGGCCGGCAGGCGTTGCGGTCTCAGCCATTAGGAGGAGAGTCTGGATGCGCAGGGGGCGGGGCCCGAGCCGGCAGGGGGCGGGGCCAGGTCTGGCAAGGGCCGGCCCCCGCGTCACCATGGCAGCGGGAACGCAGAGGCGACACTGTAGCAGAAGCAGGCCATGCTCAGAAGGGCTGGGAACCGAGATGCGGAACCAGACGCACAGATGATTTAAGAGGTAGGTGCTAAAAGGTGGCGGGTACCTGGGAAGTATTATTTACCACTGGTTGTACCGTCTAGACCAGAACTGGGGACACACGAATGGGGCGAAGGTATAGTGGGAACAAAGAGGTGGAGATTTCAGGTTCAGAACTCTCTCCGAGCTTTGCAGGTTCCTAGTGTGCAGTTCCTGATTCAGACTTTCAGAGCTTGGGGATTTCTCTTTCTCAATCTGTGCACCATCCTCCCCAAATACCGCCGCCACTGGGTTTGTCCCTGAGAGGGAAGATTTCTTAAGATAGATAGAGTACTGAAAATAGAATCACAGTACAAAAAAGTTTGAAATAATAGTACTTCTTAGAGTGTGAGATGAAAGCACTTGGAACAGTTCATGGTATGTGGGCAAATGTTGGCCACCGCGATCACCATCATCATCGCTACCATTATTTTCTGGGCCTGTTCTCTGGCACAGAACTGGTGCAAGTGGATTCAGAAGAGGCAGAAAAGGTGGCGAGAACAATGCCTGCATTGCTAATTGGCAGAACAACTCACTAGGCTGTTTCCTATCAGCTGGGGAGTAATAAAATGAACCCTATTTCCAAGAGTTGTTTACTATGGTGGTCAAATAAGACCATATGGGTGATAGCACTTTGTAAACTTCAAGTGCTTGATAAAAATTTCTGCCTTGGGATATAAGTTCTGCCTTTCTAGGTTAAAACTTAATTCCTGAGGATGAAGGGAAGAGTGAGCCAAAAGCAGAGCTCCTGGTTATTTCTTCTCGTTGTCTTCAGAATCCTTCCTGAGGTCTTTGACTTAATGGAAGAAATTTTTCACGTACTGAGATATGGGGAGGTCATTCTGGCTTATGCATGATTTAACTTGAATTTTGTGCTAACAATAAAAGCCTGTTTGTGGCCTATGAAACATACATTGTACATCTGCTTTAATCATTATTGAAAAGGGTACATTGACTAGAAGTAAATAATGTCCATGTTAAAAGTAAAGATTAAACGTCTCCTTTCCTGGGACACCAATGCTGGTATTCCCTCAATGATGACTACCTTCCCAGGTGCCAAGGCTGTACTGGCTCCCTGTATACATGCTGATCTATTTTTTTAAACCTTGAAGGAATGTATCCCTCACTTGTTCAATGTTCTTTGTTCTGACAAGACTTAAAACTGTGCTGAAAACCATGCTTCTCGGAAGCAGTTCCTCAGAGTATTTTGAGAGGCTCTTTCCAGACTATGGTCCTCAATTTGGCTCAAATAAAACTTTTTTTCTCTGCCTATTATAGATTGTCTATTTATTATTTCCATCAACAGACTGATAAATATAGGGAGGAGGGAAAATGCATTCTTGCTTGACTAATGATAGGGAAATATTTCTCTTTACTTCAGTACTATTAAAACTTAAGTTATTAGTATTAAAAATGTTGTTGGAATAGTTCTATTGTAATTATAATATCTTGGCCCGGATTTCCTGTTAACCAGGATCCAATTTTTTATACTTCCAGATGACTTAAATGGGTAGGTTTGGGGCTGGGACCTGACCCCACTAAATTGGCTTAGCTTTTGGAAGTTTTTCCTGGCCTGTATTTTTGCACATTTCTTTCTCTTCCTATTTTAAGGTAGCCCTGATCCGGCTCTTCTAGGGACTCTGAAGATGGGGACCCAAGTGGCTATGAGACTCTGTAACTCCCTGCTGCCAGCAGAGCCCTCTGTAAGTTTCTGGTGTACTAATGAGAGGAGTATGATGACGGTAATGGAATTTCAGTACAATGCTACAGCTAGGGGATTTCTCCATCAGAACTCAGATCCTGGAACAAAACTGTAATGTATTTGCTTTCTTTTCTAGCTTCCCCTTCTTGTGGAAATTCTAGCTTACTTGATTTGTATCTTTTTCCAAAATTAATAAAATCAAGCAGAGTTTGAAAATTTCTAGCAATTAATTAGAGCATTTGAGTTGTTTAAAATATTTTAATAATGTTTGCTATAGAAATAATGCACGTGAATTATAGAGCATTTGGGAAATACTGCAAACCATGATTTAAAAAACCATAACCCTCCCATCTAGAAGCAATCCTGTTAATATTTTAGAATATTTTCTTCTAGTCTTTTTTTTCAGTGTATATTATTTACATGTTTGAGAGCATGTTATGCACACACTTTTTGACTTCTGCTTTTTTAAACGTAATGTTTGCTCATACGGAATTGTTAAAATGTTTGTTTTAATGTGTAAACAAATGTTTGGTAAACATTATAATGGCTGTGATTTTCTTGACCATTCCTCTGTCGTTGGACTTTTAGATTCCACCCCCCTACATTGTAAATAACTCATTGATTTCCTCATTTAAGACTTATTTCCTTAGGATAGAGTTCCAGAAGTAGAATGCTAGGTCAAAGGATGTGAACCTTTTAAGTAATAAGTTACCTTTTAAAAGAAGAATGGCCCTGTCAGATTTTGTATACGTCTTTCAGAAGGCAGAGGGACATCAGTTGGGAGATGGAAAAGTCTTGGTAGAAATATGGCTACATCTTGCAGAAAAATTATTTCCCAATAGTATATAATTAGTTGTGCAGAGCCCTAACACATTATGAATAGCTGGTGGGGGGACATGGTGGCATTTACAGTGTTTTGAGAAACTCAGGGTCATTTGCAAAATATCCACCAGGTGTCGCTAGTCTTAATTTAATTTTTACCCACAGGATAGTTGGCAGATAACTTTTGAAATGTGAATTAAAAGAACTCATGTAGAATATATTTGCATATCTGCTTTGGTACAGTTTATATTAAGCACTAGCATCTGGTGATTACTTTGGCAACATCCTACTCTAGTCTGACACCATTCTGTCTCTTTTTTCCTTTTTGTACACACTCAGTCTGTCACAATCACCCTGAACAGTGTCCCCACATACTAATATTGGATTCTCAGTTTTACTAGTCTTCCTTTTACTATTCTTTTTTTTGGGTACTGTTTCTTGCCTCTATATGAGTGTGTGTGTGTGTATTTATTTACATGTAACTCTGAGTTCTTGAAGTTTTTGCTAAAAGAATAGGACCTGGCATATAATGATGTATATTAGGTGCTCAATATATATTTAATTACAGTTTAATGAAAGACTGCATTGATGAAGGAGAGGAAAATATAGAAAGAAAACAGAAATTATTTATATTTGTCTTGGAAATACAGTAAAAGAGACAAAAATCCACATTCCTAAATTAACTATAATTAAGTGCTAAATGACATAGTATATAGAGCATGCTATAAACTTTGAATTTTTTTGTTTTTGTTTTTGTTTTTTGGGGGGGAATTAGGTTTACTTATGTATTTTTAAATTAATTTTTTATTTTATTTTATTTTTTAGTGGCGGTGCATGCTAAATACGCACTCTACCGCTGAGCTATACCCTTCCCCTCACTTTTGAATTTTAAAGAGAAGATTCATTCATCCAGCTAATATTTATTGTGTATCAACTATGTGCCATGAAATAGTCTTGGTTCTGGAAATAAATCAGCAACAAAACGCAAAATTTCCTGCCCCCTTGGAGCTTCATTTTGGGCAGAAGAGAGACTGACAATAAAGAAATTAAAAAGTAAATATGCTGATGACTGTTAGGACAAAAAAGAAAAATAAATCAGGCAAAGAGGATTGGAAGTGCTGAGGTGAGGCGGTGTTGTCATTTTGAACAGAGTAGCAGAGGAGGCCAAACAGAGAAACATTTGAGCAGAGACCTGAAAGACGAGCAGGAATGCACCATGGGTTATCTGGGAGGTGAGTGTTCCAGACTGGGATTGTGATCGGCTCTGTCTTGATTTTAACAAAATCAGGAGTGGTCAGAACTTGAGCTAGGCATAGTGAAGGTTTGAGTAGAGGAACCATGGGACATTCTAGGCAGAGGGACAGTCATGAATGTATGGAGGTGAGAATGAGCCTTTAAGTCTGTGAGACAGTGAGGAAATTGCAAACTGAGCATAGGCAGTGAGGGCGGGAGCCCTGAAAGCTGGACACAAGGAATGTATATCGGACATGCTAGGAAAAGGGAGCATTTGAAGACATTTGAGCAGCAAGATGAGTGTGTTGTCTAAGGAAGATGAAGGGGTACAGACTGGCAGAAAAACCTGGAGACAAAGAGAGCAGTTTAGGAGCCAGGATACTTTGGGGACCTCTGACTGTAGACACGAGCCCTTTTGTGTGTATGTATTTATGTTGACTACTCTGAAGATAAATGCAATAGAAATTGTAAACATATGTTCCTGCCAAGGAACTTGCAAACGTAAAAAAAACAAAAACCAGAAAAAAAATAAGAAATTATTTCATAGAGTCATTTAAAATACTTCCATTGACAATTTTAATTATTTGTTTATTCCAACTGCCTTTCTGCTTCTTGATAGTCATTAATGATTCCCGTAATAGATGTGTCAAATTTTACATAGGTATGAATTTCACACTTCTCTGCAGGGAGAAGTCACAGTCGATATTTTCACCAAATG